GTCCAAACTCAGTTTGGTGTGAAAATTAAAAGGTTTCGATCTGATAATGCTACAGATTATTTTAATCAGAATTTGTCCCCATTTTTTCAGAAAGAAGGCATTGTGCATGAATCTTCCTGTGTTAGCACTCCCCAACAGAATGGGGTAGCTGAGAGGAAAAATGGCCATCTTTTGCAAACCACCCGAGCCTTTCTCTTTCAAAACGGGGTCCCAAAACAATATTGGGGGGAAGCTGTCCTTACTGCTGCATACACCATAAATAGACTACCATCTAAAGCTCTTGACAACCGAAGCCAATACAAGTCCTCTCTCAATTCTACCCTGATATTCGAACCTCAAATAATCTCACACCAAGAATTTGTGGTTGCATTACCTTTGTTCATGTCCATAATAAGGGAAAATTAGATCCAGAAGCAATCAGGTGTGTCTTCTTGGGATATTCCCCAACTCATAAAGGTTATAAATGTTATCATCCAGCCACCAAAAAATTCTACACCTCCATCGATGTCACATTTGAGGAGGGACAGTCCTTTTTCACTCAACCTTATCTTCAAGGGGAGCCCTCACTAATGGAAGATAAAGCCTCGGATCTACCCTCCCTAGATGTATTACCCTCCTCATAGTCATCCAACCGTCAAGAATCACATCCTTCTGAGTCACATTCCTCTGAGCCCCACATTTCCAAGCCTCAACAAGAGTCAAACAACCCGACCATTGAACCAAATCCAGACACTGTTAACCCCACCAATGATGTGCATGATGATGTGAGATATATGCAGGTTTACTCTAGGAAAAGAAATCCAAATCCTCAACTTGTGCAAGTCCAAGATTCAACTCCTAATCCTAGAACTGAGGGATGTTCAGAACCTAAAATTGTACCTTCACAGTCTAAGTATGAGTATGACCTAACTATTGCCTTGAGAAAAGGAACCAGAGAATGTACCAAACGCCCATTGTACCCTTTAGCTAAATCTGTGTCGTTCCAAAGATTCTCTAAATCCCATAAAAGTTTTCTAGCCAGCCTTAACACCATTCCAATTCCTAATACTCTAGTCGAGGCACTTTCTAATTAGGAGTGGAGAAAATCCATGAGAATGGAAATGGAGGCACTAGAAAAGAACAACACGTGGGAAGTTGTGGATCTACCRAGMAACAAGAAGGTTGTAGGTTGTAAATGGGTGTTCGCAATTAAGTACAAATCTGATGGGTCATTAGAAAGGTACAAAGCACGACTGGTAGCCAAGGGATATACAYAGACTTATGGGGTAGATTATTAGTAGACTTTTGCCCCAGTAGCTAAAATGAATACAGTAAGGGTGTTGTTGTCTTTGGCTGCTAACTATAATTGGATTTGCAACAATTTGATGTAAAGAATGCGTTTCACCATGGTGATCTAGAAGAGGAGATATACATGGACATTCCACCGGGTTTTGGAGAAGGCATTAAGGGGAACAAAGTTTGTAGGTTGAAGAAAGTACTATACGGTCTCAAACAGCCTCCGAGGGCATGGTTTGGAAGGTTTACAAAGGTGATGCTTAGTACAGGTTACAAGCAAAGTCAAGGTRACCACACATTGTTTATCAAACACACAGCCTCAGGGGGAGTTACTGCTCTATTAGTCTATGTGGACAATATAATCGTTACTGGGAATGATAAAAAGGATAAGGAAGCATTGAAAAGTTGCCTTGCCAGAGAATTTGAGATAAAAGACTTGGGGAGATTAAAGTATTTTCTCAGAATTGAAGTTGCACATTCTAAACAAGGCATCTTTATCTCTCAACAAAAGTATGTTGTTGATMTTTTGWRAGAAAYADGAAATATGGBATGTAAACCAGCTTCCACGCCTATAGATCCCAATCATAAACTTGGAGAAGCCAACGAGAATGCAAGTGTAGACAAGGAGATGTTCCAAAGACTGGTTGGAAAACTCATTTATCTTGCACATACACAGTCAGATATTGCATATGCTATAAGTGTAATAAGCCAGTTTATGCATAATCCTAAAGAAGTTCATCTRCAGGCTGCTCATCGAATTCTGCACTATTTGAAAGCCAATCCAGGGAAAGGAATTTTATTCAAAATGAATAGGGGACTGGTTCTTGAAGCATATACAGATGTCAATTATGCAGGATCTCCAATAGATAGACGGTCCACTTCTGGTTACTGTACCTTCTTGGGAGGAAACTTAGTCACTTGGAGGAGTAAGAAGCAAAATGTAGTGGCTCGGTCAAGTGCAGAGGCAAAGTTCAGGGCTATGGCACAAGAAGTGTGTGAATTGCTCTGGTTGAAGATAATTTTAGAAGACYTGAAGATTCCACGAGAAGAGCCTATGAAACTATATTGTGACAACAAGTCAGCCATCAATATTGCTCACAATCCTGTTCAACATGACAGGACGAAGCATATCGAAATTGATTGACACTTTATAAAAGAGAAACTGGACAGCAAGTTGATTTGCACTCCCTATATATCTACAAAAGGACAACTGGCTGATGTACTTACTAAAGGGCTCAATAGTACAGACTTTCGTAGAATTATAGCCAAGCTGGGAATGGAGGATCTCTACTCACCAACTTGAGGGGGAGTGTTGGAAAACGTGGGGTTACTGGTGTAGATACATTTTTTGGTAGTTAGCAGCTATATTTGGTAGTTGTGTAAAAATAGAATGCATCTATATTTGGTAGTTGTGTAAAAATAGAATTGTGTGAATATGTATTCCTAGGATTGTGGAAAAGTATAATCCCTTAAATATGGGGATTAAAATAGTTAGTCCCTTAATTATAGGAATTGATTTAGGAAGATGTTTTCTATTTATTGCAACAGCTTACTGTATAAATATGCCGATTGGCAATGGAATGAAAGCAGATCAGTTTTTTACCATTGCAAAACAATTACCAAACCAAAAGAAATGCTAGTTAGTCCACTAATGATCATATTATAGATTAGAAAGCAACAGAAATTGGTTGCCACAAGAACCTAACATCTATCAAAGTTATTGACCAACTGCTTAAACAAACTAAACAGAGGAGGAAAAATTAATAATATGATTTGGAAGTACCTGTCTCTGCAGAAATGCCTTCTTCAGTGGCTTTTCTTTTATTTTCTTTGTCATTGGTAATAAGTAATACCCGTATACTGCCACCAAGATGATTTTGGTACCACTGAGTTGCTACCCGAATTGCTGAGTCACATTTTGAATGTTAGAAATTGGAAACATGTAAAATAGCTCACAAGCACCACAGTGAGGTTTAAAAGCTAAGGAAAAACAAACAAATTAATGTCCTCAATTGGCATTAAACAGAATGGAAATGACAAAACAGGACTCATGTAGCCAACCCTATATAGTTGGGACAAGGCTAGGAGGATGCTGATTATGAATTGGCTGAACACAAGGGGCCATTGCTTGGTGTGGTGGTAAAGATCTTGGGCTGATGAGCATGAGAACATGGGTTTGAGTCTGAGAAATATGTTTTTGTGCAAAACAGTGCAAAAGGTTAGGTCCATATCCACTCCACCCTCCCAAGACCCATATATCAGGGACTAGCATAGGGTAATGATCCCATAGTATGACCGTAGCTTACACAACCTACTTTCCAGAGTTACCTAATCCAGAACCCCATTTTTGTCCCAAATTCTGAGAACAGGATCTATACTAATTTAAAAAATAAAAGGAATCAAAGCATGTACATCAAACTTAATCATTCATCTCATTTATTAAAAAAAAGAAAAAGGAAAAATCCTTAACCATCTCTCTCCCTAACAAAAAAGAGCCTCAAGCAGAACTGCAACGTCACAAAGGACAAAAGCAAAAAAAAGGGAATAAAATTTGTATAGGATTGTAAATGAGAGCAAGTAGCCCCAATAGGCAATAAACATTGGTGGATACATATGGTCATCTACCACACCAGTAAGAATTAGAAATAAATAAAGTATACTGAGATTACCAGAAAATTTAGAAAAGAGAGAAGTGTGGCTGCATGCATGATGGCCACTTACTGCTCTAGTAAGAAGTGACCTGATGCAAGTTGATGGTTCTAAAAGAACCAAGGAAAGGTTAAAAAGTGCATGGGTTTAGGTAGTAAGAAATTATTTAAGGACTCACAATATGATAAAGAATATGACCCTCGATAGAGCTGAATGAAAAAACATGATTCATATAGCTAACCCCATGTAGTTAGGATGAGGCTTTGTTGAGTTGAGTTGTTATCTGAGCCTAAAGCACCTGCATCTCATCAGGCAATCATAACTACACTGGAACTTCCCTTCCCCAATTAGATACATTGAAAATACCAGACCGCCAAAAAAACAAGAATGATGACAATTGAAAATGATTATGAAATTACCCATCACAAAATAATTATTAACTTGTGTGTGTGTATTCTATTCCATTGTTCTTTCTCTGTATAATAACAATCTAGTATATGTTTGGTTCTGTTTACGTTTACCGAGTAAACGTTTATTGACAGTGCCACATAGGCGCCCCATCAGCAAATGCCTCATTAATTGCATTTGTGTGTATCGAAGTTTGCAAAAGCAAACTTCAGTTTCTGTGCGCCTCTCCCGTTTCAGGAAGCTTCATTTTGGAGCTTCCTGAAACGGGTAGGCATTTATTGGCATTTTGCTGATGTGGTGCCTAATGGTGCCTATGTATCATAAACGCCCTCATTAAATGTGTTTCTCGGTTTTGCAGTCACAAGTACAAAACGTTTACTGAATAAACGTAAACGAAACCAAACACCCTCCTAGTCAACTAAGTAGATTCAGAAAAGCAAAGCAAACAAAATACCTCTATCATTCCGATCATTTGGACTTTCCCCAACCATGGCCTTAACATAGGTGTCCCTATAAAAGATCAACATCATCAACAACAACAGCAACAAAAATAGAACTATAATTCTTCAGATATTACTCCTCATTAGAATATAAGAATGAACTTACTTGTGGTGTTCATTTGAAAACACAAAAAAATTCCGCAGAGAATTGCTGCAAAGGGCACGAATTCTGTTATAAACAGAAAGATTCTTGTTTTTCACCTCTTCAAGAACCACAGATAGCACAACAACATCATCGATAGCCGGATTCTCAAGCAAGTCAATCTGAAAACAAGTTAGGTCCGATTAAAAAGGAAGAATAAAACCAGCAATTTGAACAAAAAAAAGTAATACTATTTTGGATCAGCCTCCATAAAGTAAATCTCTGCACTCTGCTTCAGATACTCCGAGAGGGAGATTACTTTTTTTTGAAGGGGGGAGAGAGAGAGAGAGATTACTAATTCTGAATTTGGAAAGGTATCATGTAGAGAGTACCTCCAGAACAACCAAAAAAATCAATAGTAATTTGAGACAACACAAAAGCTCTTGTTTCAATCTTTCAGCTTTGTTACTAGAGATATAATGTGTTTTCTTTTTTTTATGAATACTAGAGATAAAATGTTTTTCATGAAATTCCTTGTTCTTTTAGTTAATTCTCTGTTTTTTTCTACTGAGGGCCTTCAAGAAATACTTTTTACATTTGCATTGTTCCTTTCTATTACATATGCACCACAAAGAACATCCAAAACGAATCCTAAAAGCAGAAACTTGACGGCAAAAACGCCACTTCGAAACAGAGTGAAGTCTGAACAAACCTGATTGAGAACAACATTGGTATCGACAACGAGGATCGTAGAAGCAGATGAACTAAGACGAGCAGCTGAAGAATCGCAGACCTTGCAGATTGAAGCTCCACAGTAGATATCGTCTCTGAGATAATGCTCTCTTACAACCTGAAACAACGAGGAAAACCCTAATTGGTTCAAAGCGAAGGCGAGGAAAAGAAAGGGCTAGGGTTTCGAAAATAAAGACTGAACGTCGAGCTGACCTTTAGTACTCTGCCTTGCTTTGTCTTCCTAACAAACGACTTGCTCTGCAACATCTTTCGCTGCTTTGCCGCGCGTTAGAGCAACCGCTCTCTCTTTCCCGTAACGAGCACTTCACTTTTAGCTATTTATACTTCTAGTTCCAAAAAAGGGTCCTTTTCGAATTTTGAGATAGACTGGGGTTTGCCGAAGTTGCTTCAGTTGTGACTCTTGTGAGTTGTGATGTGAGGGTGCCAGTTTGAACGGGCCGAACTCCAACCTGGACCCGAGGACCGATCCAGTCCTCAATTTTACACGGGCAAAACGCTTGGATTTCTTATCCTCGGACTGGGCCTGGGTGTTAAAAAAAATCGGGCTTCTTCATTGTTTGGACTGGGCCGGGTCTAAACCTTAAATAATTTGAGCCCAGACTGAACAACCGAACCTAACAATGGTTTTAAATTTTTAATTGTTTCAGTTCATTCTGATGGTGTACCTAGTATATACTTACCCATACGTTAATAATATAGAATCTATACTTATGTATAACTGTAACTTTGGGTTCAACCCTAATTTATCAACAACCTTGGAGTCCTAGACACTTTTAAAATTCTTCGCTCATTTTGACTCATTGGCTTTTAGTACTGTTGTGTCACTTTCTTTCTTTTATTGTCATTCCTTATTCTTTCTTGCAAACATTGGAAGCTATTGTTCTTTTCTTTGACGTGGTGTAGTTATTAAACCTGGTATCCCTTCTTGCTTTTATTAGTAGAATAGTGATCTCTTTCAAACCTACAAAGATTGATCACTTTCTAATCCACCCAAGTGTACAACACTTTGTATGATTTCATGTATTTTATTTTACTAGTAAATTTTCACATGCTTCACACGTGATAATTTTTTACGATAATGATATTGAATAATATACTTCCAAATTTTTAATATTTCTATATCTATAAAAAAAAAACTATTCTTATTTGCCACATTTTTTGATTAATGTGATGAAAATATGGGATTAGAGATAGCCCAAATGTTTTCTACAATTTTTTTGTATTTTTTATATTTTTGTGTGTTTTCATCTTTTTAAATTTTTATTATTATTTATTTATGATATCAAGGGTTGGTGCTTTCACTCAAAAGGTTGAATTGTTGATTGACCGCAAAATAGGAAAACAACTCCATTTTTTGTTTGGTTTTAAATTTGTATTTTATTTCTAGCATCAATAAAAAGAATTATTCTTTGCCACACTTATTTTTCTTTAATATGATTAATTAAAATATTATAGATATGCCCAAATGTATTTTACATAATTTATATATTTTTGTATATTTTTTGTGTTTTTTGTGTTTTTATCTTCTCTTACTTGTATTATTTAATTTTTATTTCATAGGTTCACACATTTAACCTAAAAGGTTGAATTGTTTATCTACCACCAAGCAAGGAAACAATTTTACTTTTGTGTTAATTTTGATTTTTGGGTTTTATTTCCATCACCAATAAGAAATTACAAACAATTATTGTTTATCATGTTTAATATTTAACATAACATGATTAATAAAAAATATTAGAGATGTGTTAAAATGTTTTCTACAAAGTTTTTATATTTTTTTATTTTATATTTTTATTATTTAATTAGGAGATCAATAATTCACACATATGACTCGAAAAAGGTTGAACTTTGACCTGCTACCAAGATAACAATTTCATTTGGGCTGGTTTTAAATTTGATATTTTATTTCCAAATCAATAAAAATAACTATTATTTATCACACTTATTTTTCTTTAATACGATTAATATAAAATATTATATAAGGTATAAATGTTTTTAACAAAATTCTTGTATTATTACATGATTTTTTTGTTTTTTTTATTTTTTCATTTTTATTTAATTATAATATCAAGGGTTGACACATTTGACTCAAAATGGTTATATTTTTGAGCCTCCACCACAAAAATAATATTTATTTTGGATTGTTTTGAATTTATATTTCATTCCTACATCAACAAAGAATAACTACTATTTATTACACTTATTTTTCTTTAATATGATTAATATAAAGCACTAGATATGTGCCCAATTTTTCTATATTTTTATTTATTTCTATTTAAAAGTTCTCTACTTTATTCTAACATCACAGATTAACCCATTTTACTCATACGGTTAAATTACTTACTTGCCACAACGCCACCAAAATGGAAGAAAGACTATGTTTTTTGGTCAATTTTAAAAAGCATGTATTTTATATGGTTAAATGCATTGGGTATAAATCTAATTGATAGAATTTAGTGGTAAAAAATAATAGCTTAAATATAAGATTCAATGAAAGAATTGGGGTTAATACCCTAAATATAAGACTTAATGAGAAGATTTGATAAGGAGAAATGTATCGTTCAAATTATATTTGTGCCCTCATAATTAGAGAGGGACCAAATTTGAAAGTAGGGGGCTAGTCAATAATAGGATTCCATTAATGATAATGCAAGTTAATATCTATTCTAGTCAAGAATATGGCTTAATGGGAGGAATTTAAATGAGGAAAAAAGTGATTATTCAAATTACATTTCTATCCTTACAATTAGATGACCAGATTCAAAAATTAAGGTATTTCAATCAAACAAAAATTTCACACATTTAATAGTGGTATAGATTACCCATTGAGATTTTAATATCACCAACAACACTACTAAGTATCTCCAAATTTGGGAGTTTGGTTTAAGCTTCAAATAACATTTCATCACCTTGTTCACCTTTTGACAAATTTGAATGCTAAATGCTCCACCTCTTGTATAATACGCCCACATCTTACCCCACCAACACTTGAGCAATTGAGATCTAATTGCTTGAGTTATCAACCTTAACCAGATTTTCTACATTATATCTATGCCCAAAGAATGAGTTAGCATAATGAGTAATAGTAATTGGTCTTTGAAGGCACCTTGAACTAGGACTAGGGATAGAATTAGGGTTTCAGCCATGAATTAGGGTTTATTAGATTTTCTACATTATATCTATGCCCAAAGAATGAGTTAGCATAATGAGTAATAGTAATTGGTCTTTGAAGGCACCTTGAACAAGGACTAGGGATAGAATTAGGGTTTCAGCCATGAATTAGGGTTTATTAGGTGCAAAGTGCACCTATATAGGGAGCGGTTGGAAATAGAGTACATTAGAAAGAAAAATGTATATAACTAACAAGCCCATTCCTAGTGTGATAAATTTTAGCTTGAGTTGGGCTTAGGTTGGGTAGATTAGGCTTTTTTTAATACCATGTTATTACACCTCAAGTGTTTGTCAAAATTGAACATGACATTAAGTTCCTAAGGCTAGCAAGTCACTAGTTAAATGGTCTAATTATCTAAACTCTGACCCTTACATGTTTCAATAAAGGTAAATGCTATTGTAAAGCGACTTCACAACCCATGAATTTGCTAAAGAGCAAATTTCTTAAACTACCCCTACCGTTTAGCCAATTGCCAAACTGTATCTTTACTGTTTAACTATTGTCTTAAACCACCCCTACTGTTTCTAACAATTAACTAGCTCTACCCAGTCGTTAGCATCTGTTAATATTCCATCAAAATCTGTACACATGTGACACCACATGACGTTTAATTTTTTTTAAACCCAATATTACCCTCATCTCCTTCATATCAACCCAGCGGTAGAACACCAACACCCCCTTCCTCCTCCAACCCCCCTCTTTCTCTCTCTCTCTCTCTCTCTCTCTCTCTCTCTCTCTCTCTCTCTCTCTCTCTCCATCTTCCCAAGAACCCATCATGGCCAATAGGGAGAAGGAGAAGATGAAACCCTTGGCACCGATTGCCAACCGGATTAGCAATGGCGAAGGCAAAGCTTCGTTCTATTCCAAGAAACTCCACTATAGGAAATACATCAAATGTTGCTAAATGTTGTTTGGCGTTGTTGATCATCGCCACCAGAATTGGTGGCACCACCACTGAAGATCGCCAACAACATCTCAAACTTGGAGAGCACCACCACTGTCGATCCTGAACCTGGCATCCCTATTGAAAACAAGGCCATCTCGTAGATATGGAATATGGGAACTGTATAGACGAACGTCCATTCTCTCTCTTCCAAATGTAAACGACCCAAAATTGTCTAAATGCAATCTTCTTTATATGCTCATGTTATCTCTATAGAGAACCCTAATCTAGCTAGACTACTTGAAATTCTTCACATGTTCCTCTCCCAATAGTCTCACTCTCCCTCGTGTCTCAAGAACAACTCCTAAGCTCCAAATAGAAGGTGGAGAGGAATTCTACCTGGTGGCCACCACTAACATGGATGTGGATTTGAAATTGCTGGAGCAGTTCGCTTCTCACAACTCACCAACACTATCGATGCCTCATCCAATCTAACCCACTAAACTTTTAATCATTCAAATATCCAAAAGAAAATCCTCTCTACTGAGATGAATTTTCTCATTAAATGCAACCCTCAAGTATAGTTTTTAGGACTCTGTAACATCCTCTCTATTGAGAAAGTCCTTTGTTTTCTCACGTTGTGGTCGTATCTGTGGAGTATCGATTGGCTTTAATTGAAATAGGGATTTAATTTTTGTTAAAGGAGGGCAGACCGAAGAGGGCTACAATGAGTGTGAATTGTAGAGGAGCGAAGACCGAGGAGGGATGTGGCAGGTGTGAGTTGTAGAGGAGGGTAGACCAAGAAGAAGAAGGAGAGAAGAAGAGAGAAGAAGATGAAGAACAAAGAGAGAAGAGAGAGAGAAGAGCGATCTGGTGGAGGGAGGTTACCACGACAATTGCAGTAGTGGTGGTGAAGAAATTCCAATAAGGCTTTCTTGAGGGAATGAAAGGGTAAAATTGACATTTTATCCTTTCTATCAGAATTTAACGGTGATGACAATTATTGGAACAGTAGGGGTGGTGCAAGACAATTACATAGTAACGGTACAGTTAGTCAATTAGCTAAACCATAGGGGTAGTATAAGAATTTTGCCCTTTGATAAATTACCTACCCATGATGTCACCCGCATGCTATATGAGGTTGGCTTTATAGTGCAACACTTTGCTATAAAAGGACTCTTCATTTGTTTCTATTTTTTTTTGTTGCAAATCACGTTAGTTCCATCTTTGCAAAGCATCTCAAGAAGAATTGTTGAAGGGGGGGAGCAATGACCAAAATGATGATTTGGCCACCTGG